GTCTTTCAGTAAAAGAAATCATATTTTTAGTAAAGTATTTTTAATAAACTAAAAAAAAAGATTTGTCCTCAAATATATTGAGTATTTGTTTTGAATAGTTTGTGTACAAAGTGATTTTCATGTTAAGATTACTTTTCTTCGTCTCAAAAATCTCAAATTTCATTTGTGTAATCTCTAAAACCTCTTGAGTACATTTCAAATGTTTGTTTTCAGTAAAACTGACCAACCTTGTAACCACCAAAAAAAAATGACTTCTTCGTCTCAAAAATCTCAAATTTCATTTGTGTAATCTCTAAAACCTCCTGAGTACATTTCAAATGTTTGTTTTCAGTAAAACTGACCAATCTTGTAACCACCAAAAAAAAATGACTTCGAATGTGACATGAAACTATATTTGCTTTAAACTTGTAACAGTATACATCTATTTATAATTAAATTTTATTGCCCTTTGAACTGTATCTAACATCTATTTGTGTCATTATAAGTTGTATCTCATTTGGGGAACGTGCAGCTCACGTTACGCTATCAAATTACCTTACCCACGAGCTACTCCGAGCTGCTTGCGTGCGTGCCTCGTGAAATATTTTCACTATATAATTATAATTTATTTTACCTAATTTGACCTTAACTAACCTAAAGAGTTTCATATTTTTACATTTTAGTTACTTTTATAATAATAAATAAAGAATAAACATGAAAAACAAGAAATATAGTACTTACCCGAGTATTTTTTTTTTTGCTGTCGAATGTTAATGACACTTAGCCCTATTTTTTTTTTTTTACAATAATGGCAGTATGCATTAAATAATGTCTGAGCAATGACGACTTTATAGTGAGTAATTTACGTTTAATTTAGTAGTTACTGGAGGGGTGGTGGATAAAATAGAGAAGATATACCTAGAGAAAATGTGTCACGTGTCACACTTGGGGAAATTCAGGATTTTTTTTAATATTGCCTTATAGAACTAAGAACTTAACTTATATACTATTAAAATATGGATTATCAGCTAAG